GTTACCGTCACTGCAGCTCCCATGTGTGACACAAAAAGAGGCCTAAGAGTACTTGAAGAATGAAAGAATATATGAATGAGTCGGATCTCAAGTTTTCCTCTTTATGCTTTTAACACATTCCTTTGTGTTATTTAGATATAAATGGCTCCTCCCTATCAACTTCACAAATCCTCTTTGCAAGGTTTGATGTCCTTAAAGTAAAGCTCTTTCTCAAATGAAACTAGGAAGGAAATAACCTATGTTTCCTCCTGATGGACACTCTGAGACAGCCGTTTAGATGTGAAAAGGTTTCAAACTTCATTTATACCTCCCTACCGCCAAATGAAATCACCAGTGAGGTTTGAACAAATTGCTTTTGAATTTTTTTTTTTTTTGCATGATGCCATTGATAAAAACAGTTTAGCCATTTGGAGTGTGTGAGCCAAGGTAAGCGTGCTTTGGCACATCTCAAATGGATTTTCCACTTCCTCCCAGATGCACGAGTCAGCAGCAAGCAGGAATACATTACTGTTTATCCTATCCTGCTATGTCCCTGGGCAGGCACCTCTGAGATCCCATAGTGTTTTGCTAGGGCATTAACAGTGTCACGAAGATATCGTTGTGGAGGTTTTCCTGATTCACCATAAAGGATATCACTTTCCTCCCACTGTATTTCAGCTACTGGACGGTCAGCGAAAGAAACAGAATCAGTTCAACAGCCTGAGATGTTGTTATTAAAATGCAGGAGAGAAAGCACTACCTCTTTTTCTATTTTGTATAAATTTCCACAATTATGTTAATGGATGGTATTACATTTTTCCACGACTGAGAAGAAAAATAGTCTTACTAATATTGCTTATTCCAAGGCACTATGATGATTATTGAAGACTTACTATGAGCCAGATATATTGGTGGTCTCATTTGATTCTCAAACGTCTGGGGTAAAATCCTTACCTCCACTATTTTTTTCAAATGAGAAAAAGGATTTCTTTTTTTTTTAATTTTAAGATTTTATTTATTTATTTGACAGAGAGAGACACCGTGAGAGAGGGAACACAAGCAGGGGGAGTGGGAGAGGGAGAAGCAGGCTTCCTGCTGAGCAGGGAGCCCGATGCGGGGCTCGATCCCAGGACTCTGGGATCATGACCTGAGCCGAAACAGACACTTAGCCGACTGAGCCACCCAGGTGCCCCAAGAAAGCAAAAGTTTTTTGTTTTTTTTTTTGTATTTATTTGACAGAGAGAGACACAGCGAGAGAGGGAACACAAGCAGGGGAAGCAGGAGAGGGAGAAGCAGGCTTCCTGCTGAGCAGGGAGCCCGATGCGGGGCTCAATCCCAGGACCCTGGGATCATGACCTGAGCTGAAGGCAGACGCTTAACGACTGAGCCACCCAGGCGCCCCAAGAAAAATGATTTCAATCAAGTAGTTTGCCCTGAATCCTATGATTCAGTTGCAGAGCGAGGCTCAAACCCATGTCTCTACACTGTGCCCTGGGTGGCTCTGCAGGCTTTCCGTTGGAGTTGCTCTACTTTATAAACCAAGCGCTCAGAATGGGGGAGGGTGGTTAACACTAAGTGGGAGGGATGTGCCAAGCGTATGGTAGTGGTCATCCACACAGGCTCTGCAGTCAGGTCACTTGGCAACAAATCCCCATTCCCACCCTTTACAAACCACTATTGTTACTCTAACTTACTCTGCAATAATCTCATTTCAGCCCAGCTTTTAGCAAAACATCTACTGTATCCATCAAATTTTCATGTAAATTCACTTATGGGACCTGGTTTGGTATACACCGTCTTATTTAAAACTTAAGATGATTTTGAAGGTACTATTATATTCATTTCACAGGTGATGAAAAATGAGACCAACGGATGTTAAGGAACTTGCCCAGGGCCCCAGAGCTGGTAAATGGTGGAGACAGAATTAAAACTCAGGTGAACAGGAGTCTAAAAGCCATCTTCTCAGGGCACCTGGGTGGCTCAGTCCTTAAGCGTCTGCCTTCGGCTCAGGTCATGATCCCAGGGTCCTGGGATCGAGCCCCGCATCGGGCTCCCTGCTCAGCGGGAAGCCTGCTTCTCCCTCTCCCACTCCCCCTGCTTGTGTTCCCTCTCTCACTGTCTCTCTGTCAAATAAATAAAATCTTTAAAAATAAATAAATAAATAAAAGCCATCTTCTCTCCATGCTTTCTCACTAGCAAGCCTGCCTTTACCTCATTTGACTGAATTTAAGCTCTCCTTTACTTGCGCTGGCCTAGACTTTCAGTTTAGAGCCGTCATTACTGTTGGTCCTTGACTCCCAAAATTCTGGTTTAATATACTCTACAGGTTCTTATTTCCACACTGTCAAGGACAGACCCAGGCCAGCCTGAAAAGGGCACAGTGGCACCTCACATTTCACTCCTATGAAGCCAATGGGCACAAATCTCAGGTTCTCTTCATTCAGAATGTGGAAACATCAGCAGAAAGGCATAACTCTTTATACGAGTCAAATCCCGAATGACACGCGTGAAAAATAATAGGGCTGACTTTTTAGCCGTGATAGCTTTGGCACACCTCACATCCCTTTGTTCAAACTCTCTTCCCTCACCGGAGAGCGGCATTCCTGGGAACGTCTGCTGTGCACTTTTCCCACTCACCCTAGTGTCATTTAAAGGTGACTGGTACAGTTTTGCTAAGAAAACTTTTTCTTTCATTTGTAATGAAGAGTGATTTTATCACTTTTGACTTTAAAATGAGCTTCCTGCCTTTAAATCTTTTAATTACCAACATTAGCAAATTCAAAGAAATCTTTTCAGGTGGACCCCAGTGAGGGGCTGACTCTAAGTCCTTGCTACCCAAAGTGTGGTGCACAGCCCAGAGGCACCTTATCACCTGGGACCTCGTGAGAAATGCGCCATCTCGGAACTCTCCTCGAGGACCTACTGAATCAGAGTCTGCATTTTACCAAGACCCACAGGTGATCTATAAGCACATTCAACTTTGAGAAACACTGGTCTAAAAGAATGCAGACTCCTATCTAAAAAACTGTCAATCAGAGGGCACCTGGGTGGCTCAGTCAGTTGGGCGACTGCCTTCGGCTCGGGTCGTGATCCTGGAGTCCCGGGATCGAGGCCCGCATAGGGCTCCCTGCTCGGCGGGGAGTCTGCTTCTCCCTCTGACCCTCCCCCCTCTCATGTGCTCTCTCTATCTCATTCTCTCTCTCAAATAAATAAATAAAATCTTTAAAAAAAAAAACTGTCAATCAGAGACATGTGTAGAGGTGTGTTATTTATGTGGATCATTTTAGCAATGATAAATCAAACCCTGACGAGTTCACAATGTCATTATCTCATGAAATGACACATTCTCAGGCCACAGTCCCTGTGGTTATGATGGCATGGATCTGGAAAGGACTCCTTCGCTACAGGTATGACCAGCCCAGAAAAAAACGGCTGATGTGTGAGTGGCCAGATCATTCCAGTCAGAACAAGGAGAGGTCATCTCTGCTGGAATTCTGTGCCTTCCTCCCAGTAAGCAGCATCAAGATACCAGGAGTCTACCTGCCTGTCCAGGCCTGGGAGCCTGAGGGCAAAATAGAACCATTAAATAATATGCACAACATTGCCTTCTCCAACTGTCATCAGTTTGGTGGCCTCGCCTAAAGATTTAGCTTAGAGCCACTTACATTTTGGGAGAAAAGTTCCATCCCATCACTGCCTTGTGAGGCGGTAGCAAAGAATAATTTGCCCCTTTTGCAGAAGCCTCTTAACATCTCCCTTCAAAGTTCCAGGGCTCTGTGAGCTAAGTGTGGCCACTCAAGTTCTAAAATGAAACCGTGGTCTCTTTCCGAGAATGGTAGCCTGCAACAAGGGCCCCAATTCTTCATCCCTCCCTGTCTCTTTGCCATTTAATAGTGGGATGCCCATCCATTTCAACTTTAGGCTCAGCTATCTGACTTTCTTGGACAATAAAATGAGACAGGAGTGAGAGCATGCAATCCTGAGGCCAGCTTTCAAGAAGCCTTGTGTGGGGGCGCCTGGGTGGCTCAGTTGGTTAAGCGACTGCCTTCGGCTCGGGTCGTGATCCTGGAGTCCCGGGATCGAGTCCCGCATCGGGCTCCCTGCTCGGCAGGGAACCTGCTTCTCCCTCTGACCCTCCCCCCTCTCATGTGCTCTCTCTCATTCTCTCTGTCTCAGATAAATAAATAAAATCTTAAAAAAAAAAAAAAAAAGAAGCCTTGTGTGTTTCCACTTGGTCTCTTGCACTTCTGCCATCTCCGTGAGAATATGCCTAGGCTAGGCTGTGAAAGGAAAACAGATGCAGGGAACTGAGCCAGGCTGGCGCAGCCGAGGCCGGCATAATACGCCTACGGTCGGCCGACGTCCATGTGGGAGAAAGCCCAGTCCGGAATGGCAGGGCCCCCCGATCAGCCCAGCGGACTCACACTCACAAGCTATGAATGCTCCCTGCTGTGTGCCCCTGTGGGTCGCAGTTGCCTCGTACACAGCATTACTGTGGCCACAGATAACCCATCACTAAGTAACCAATTAAGTTATTGATAGGTGTTTCCCTTTTAAGTTTTTTATTTCTACCACATTGTCCCCTGAAAACAGTAACTTCTGTTAAGAACACTCAGGGGCAAGCAAAACAAAGAATCACATGAAAAGTCAACGAGAAACTCAAAACAGCTAATATTTTGGCTCGCACTGTTGTCTTCATCATGGTGATTTCCGTATTACATACGTGTAACACGTTCGTATCTCCCCCAAGGCCACGGAGCTCTTAGTACAATATGTCATACATTTCATTTCATCTCATGAACTAGGCACGATGTCTAGCGAAGGGGTTAAATGTGAGCAAGGTGGACGGGCTGGGCTCTTCTCCCCTGAACGCTCTGTGTGTACGAGACACAAGCCGCGACAAGGCCTCCAAGCCCCACACTCACGCAGCCCAGGCCCGGTGTCCGACTGAGTGGCTGCCAACACAAGAGCTGTGTGCGAGTCTCAGCCAACCTCACGGCTCCGACTAAGGGGCATGTTACCTTGCTGCCGCATCTTCATGGTCCGGATCCTTATTGCTTCTCCTCGAACGCGCCCTTCACAGAAGTATGCACCGTTGATTTTGCTCGCCTTTTCTCTCTTCCAAACGACCTTTTTAGCCCATTCTCTGGTCACATCTTGAGTAACTTCCAGGGGATCCTGGTGCTGGTTCATTAAGGCTTCAAAGTCCCTTCCTATAGTGATGGGTTCATGGGGGCGCCATCCAGAGGCGATGCAGGTGAGGGACGTTTCCGCGTCAGAGACGAGAGGTAGGGAATTGATCAGGATCAGGTCCATGGCACTATCCACTGTTCCTAAAAAAGAAAGAAGGTGTGTCATCTATGAGGAAGGTTATTAACATGGCTCCACAGGATAAATGGGTGCTTACCAAGTCCTGGCTAAAAATAGCTCGGGAGCCGTCTTTCTAAAATGCTACTGTTCCATAGGACAAGATCCAAAACTCTTTACTATGGTATCACCTAGACCCTACTAACCCCTCCTGCCCCACTGCACACCGTAGCTGCCGTGGACTCTCAGTTATTCTCCATTCCCCAAAGCAAAGCTGTGCATTATATCTCTACCCAGTATAGTGTCTGTGACATTAGTTAGGTATTCGGCAAATGCTTGTTGAGTTAAATTCACAACAATAGCATTATTGTCATTAATTATTAGTGAAAATAATTCTAATTAATAAAAATTAATGATAATGTGGTACTGCCACAGTAAAGTATTCTCAAGAAATATATCAACTATAGGGGCGCCTGGGTGGCTCAGTCGGTTAAGCAACTGCCTTCGGCTCAGGTCATGATCCTGGAGTCCCAGGATTGAGTCCCGCGTAGGGCTCCCTGCTCAGCGGGGAGTCTGCTTCTCCCTCTGACCCTCCTCCCTCTCATGCTCTCTGTCTCTCATTCTCTGTCTCGCAAATAAATAAATAAATAAATCTAAAAAAAAAAAAAAGAAAGAAATACATCAACTATATACACTGCATACTAACTTTATACACTCTCATCGTTGTCAAAGAATTCCACTAGAGGAGGACTGAGTGAGTTACACATTTCCTCCTGAGCTTCATTTGCCTCATCTTTAAATTGAGGCTAACAAGGGCACCTGGGTGGCTCAGTTGGTTAAGTGTCTGCCTTCGGCTCAGGTCAGGATCCTGGGGTCCTGGGATCCAGCCCTGTGTCTGGTTCCCTGCTCAGCAGAAGAATCTGCTTCTCCCTCTCCCTCTTCCTGCTCCTGCTCTCTTGCTCGCTCACTCTCTCTTTCAAATAAATAAATAAAATCTTTCAAAAAAATAAAGTCATTTTAAAAAAACGAGGCTAACAAGACCCATCTTGCAGGATTCTTGTAAAGATTAAATGAGATATAGTACCTAACTTCCTAAGCACTGTGTCAGCTATATATGGGGTCAACAATGACCATTATTTCAGTTCTCTCTATTCTGTTTCCTGAACACCTAGGCCCAAACCTCAACCCTCCCCAAATGTAAAAATGAAATTCTATCTGGCCTTTAAAAGTTATTCCATAAATGATGAAGCGCATTTTAGAAAAGAAAATCCCTTCTTTTCACGTTCTCCCCCTTCTCTTACCTGCCTCTCCTCTCTTCTCTTCTCTTCTGATTTCCAAAGTTTCTAAGATGAACAAATGAAATCTGTGCCTATTCTCTGCTCCTGTCAAGTGTGGAATACTAGGGATGGAGGATATTCTCTGGCTCAAGTGATGGTTGATCCTCAAGTCTACATACAATGATCAGGGGGCTTGACAGGTCAAGCACAATGGATGGCAAGTTCCATGAATACAAGGATTGAAGCTCTTTTGTTCACACTGACATATATAGGAATACCCTGCGTAGTCTCCGCATATAAAGGACTTAATAAATATTTGTTGGATGGGTGGGTGGGTGGGTGATGGATGGATGGGCAAATTTTATTCCAGATCTGCTTGATTCAAGTTCACCAATCCCACTTCCAGAATAATGAGGTTAAAAGTGAAAGTGTTCTTCTGAATCTAAACTGACTTCCTTGCCCATATTTAAAAGGCTGTTTTGAGAATTACTGAGTTTAAAGAAAAAAAGCAAATGTTACGGTTTTTATAAAATGCCACAGAAAGCTGATCAATGGTTGCTAAGTATTTAGGGTTGATTGGTATTCATTTACCAGATCTTTTTTGAGCCTCTGCTTATGTTAAGCATTATGCCTGCCATGAAGTCCTCATACAATTTTTTTTAAATGGCAACTACCACTGTTGGATGTATGCAGTGATGTTTTGAGAATGACACTATTAGGAGTTACATTTTTATCTGATTAATTAAGAAGAATGTCAAAGTCAAGTCTTAATGTAAATGGGAATTTGAGCTATTTTTTTTTTTCTTGTAATGTTAACTCAATACATGGGCTTGAGGGAGAAAATCTTGCCTTGAATGGGTGTATCTGACCCTGAAGCATCTATCTGGCTCCAAGCCTCAATAGTAACTTCACAATCTCCAGAGAAGAGACAGGGGTTGGGATAAGAAAAATGTTGTAAGAGAGGGTAAGTGAGGAAAACTAGCAGTGGAACTAGGGCCTCCAAAAATAACACTGGAGCCCAGCTCGCCTCCATATGTGGGTCCAGCTATGCCTCGGAGTGAACAGCACCTTGTCTCCCACATTCGCTCATTCCAGGCATGTTCCCAGAGAGAGTCATCAGAGGAAGGAAACGTCGTAATTCTTTCAGCTCCGGGTCAATCCAGCCTCATTTCTAGGACCAGGTGAGTGACTTGCCAAAACCAAGGGATCTGCTCTGAACTCACTGAACTTGCTCTGGCACTGGCTCTGGTTTATTTAATGACTTTAGGAAATAATAGAAAACGCAGCTGATTTGAAAAGACAGCCACACTTCATCTGTACATTGTTTCTGGGTATGGATCTGGTTTCTTTTTCCTTTTGTTCCTCCCAGTTCTCTCCCTTTATTCTCAGTGACAGAAAGGGAAATCGTGTACTTCCGAGGGTCCAGACTGGACTATGCTTTCCTCCCCTTATTCAGCAAGCCACTTACAGGAAGCCCTCTCCCACCAGTGAGTTGTCTGTCCTTTGTAATGCCATTTACAGAGAAGTATCAGAAGGATTTTGTATGTGAGCTTTGGAGAGGAGAAGAAATACCTATCAGATCCTGGGATGGATCTTAAAAATCATCTACTTAGTTTTCCTGAAACGAGAGTATGTATTTGTACTTGTCCATATATGCCTAAAGAAATTCTGGAAGGTGAGACATGAAACTGAGAACAATAGTGACCCATTAGGGGAGAGCGGGGTAGCTGGGGGACATGATGAGGGAGGTTTTTCACCGTATACTTATATATGCTGGTTTTTGAACCATTTGAATAATACCTACACATAAAAATTGAATGTAAAGACTAAATGCTATCACTCTTCCCTTAAAAAGATGCATTTGGAAGGGAATCAAGAGCCAGAGGAATATATGCATCTCTCATCATTTGTCCCTACATCTCTTTGGATTGCTTCCAAGTAATACACTTTTCTCTTTCTCTCTTCTTTGGACTAATAGGAAACATGATACCATTCCACAGTGCTGGGGGAAAAAACATGGGTTAAAAACAAACAAACAAACCTTTGCCAACAGGGAGAAGAAGGGTAGCCACACTTGGCTTCTCAAAGAGTATAAAGGAGCGGGGGCCCTAGGCAATAGGCACAGCTGTGGCCTGTGGCTTCTTGAAAGAGTTCAGCCACTGACACTGTGAAAGGTGTGACTGCAGGTGCATAGCAGGTGCCACAGAGGAATCTGCTACTGGGGACGTGTGCCTCAGAAAAATTGCCAAAGACAGACCCTATCTGGGCTCACACCATATCAGCCCCTGTGCCTAACACCTTTTCCTACATTATAGCGCTGTCTTCCCCAAGTCCCGCTGGGGACAGGCATGCAGTTGTTCCACCTCAAGCATGGTCTGAAGGGCTCTGGTCAAATCCAGTGCTTAGTTCTTGACACGTCCAGCATCATGGCTGCGTTTGCCAAATGAGTAAGTAAGACGCATATTGAATTTCATGCATCTTTTATGCTTTGGGGATTGATATTATTTTTCCTTAGCAAAGACCTTGCAAACACTTTTTAATATTTGCCTAAAATGTGTCTTATCTGTAAGGAAATGCTTTCCATCATGACATGGCATCTGCCAAGTTAACAAATGATTGTCCAACACAGTTGAAGCATAATATCCTAAAATGTTATTTTGCTCACTCTGTCATTTGTGGGCTATACAGCACATCATCTAATCTTTCACAGTAACATTTGCTTATTAAATTGCATTGTGGTACACTCAAAATGTTTATTAATTGTTTTTGCACTTAGATTTTCTTGTATTCAATGTTGCTCTGAAAAATGACTCATTAAGTAAGACAAAGAAATACTTTTCTCTACAAATAGTCATAGATATGGATGGAGCTAGAGTGTATTATGCTAAGTGAAATAAGTCACTCAGAGAAAGACAAATACCACATGATTTCACCCATACGTGGAATTTAAGAAACAAAACAGATGAACATAGAGGAAGGGGGGAGAAAAGAGGGAAGCAAACCATAAGAGACTCTTAATGATAGAGAACAAACTGAGGGTTGATGGAGGGTGGTGGGTGGGGGATGGGCTAAATGGAGGATGGGCTAAATGGGTGATGGGGATTAAGGAGTACACTTGTGATGAGCACTGGATGTTATATGTAAGTGATCAATCACTAAATTCTACTCCTGAAACCAATATTACCCTATATGTTAACTAACTAGAATTTAAATAAAAACTTGAAACAAACAACAAAAATAGCCATAGAAAAATAGACACACAGATCAATGGAATGGAACAGAAAGGCCAGAAATAAACTCACAATTATATGGTCAATTAATCTTCAACAAAGGAAGTATGAATACGCAATGGGAAAAAAACAGTCTCTTCAACAAATGGTGTCAGAAAAACTAAACAGCTACATTCATGAATGAAACTGAACCACTTTCTTACACTTTACACAAAAAGAAATTCAAAATGAATTAAGGACCTAAATGTGAGACAAACCATAAAAATCCGAGAAGAGAGCATAGGCAGTAATTTTCTGATATCAGCCATAACAGCATCTTTTTAGATATGTCTCCTGAGACAAGGGAAACAAAAGCAAAAATAAACTATTGGGACTGTATTAAAATAAAAAGCTCTGCACAACAAAGGAAATAACCAACAAACTAAAAGACAACCTACTGAATGGGAAAAGATATTTGCAAATGACATATCCAATAAAGGGTTAGTATCCAAATATATATAAAGAACTTATACAACTCAA